GAAACCGCTTAATCAGCGTGCAGGATAACTGCAATACCACTGCTGCGCATCACCACATCTTTGAAAAAAATTTCAAGAATTAAAATTTTAACATATAAGATTATTTTTATAAGATAAAAAAGCTACATTTTTAGACTTAATTATACCAGAAATAAACCTAGTAAAAAAATTTGAAAAATATACTTTTTTCCGCTCATATACCACTGTGTGCCGCTTGCTTTATTGCCTCCTTGCCGTTGCTCATTCAGCCATTCCCGAGTAGATGAGACGAATAGATGCGATGTGATAATTGTCCGCCACTTCGTACGGCATTTCCAACACTCACAGCACTCGTGATGTACGGGATGAGAAAATCACGCGAGACATGACTCGTTACTCCGCTCGTTACTTTGCACGACGCACTACAACCGATTATTACGCGCGACACACAATGACTTTCACTTTTTATTCGAGAAATACGAAATATGTGGTTACAACTTTACGACGATACATAAATCGCATTATCACCTTGCTTCGTCGCGTTGCGGCGCGAGGAATGCCAACTGTAAACAAGCTCGCGTATTCTGGAATTTTTGTCGCGTCTCGCTGTCTGTTCTATTGTTTAGAGCTATTCTACAATGTGTCGCAAATGTCCCGTCGCCAATCGCAAAAAATGACAATTACTAATCGAAAAGTGCTATTTCTAGTTATTTTTGGTAAGACGGGGCGACGCATTGTAAAATGGCTGATTCACGAATACGAGATGAGTTAATGCGACATGATAATTGCTCGCGAGTTTGTACGGTATTCCTAATGCTCACTAGCAATACGTAAAACAAATGAAACATATGAAATGGATCGCGACAATTCGTACAAGTAGAAGAGATCGCATTTTTCTGATCGACGCGTACAAGTGAGTGATCGAGACAATCGAGAAGGACGCAACAAATATCGGCGTTAAGAAACATACCGGCGACGCCGGTAACGATCTAATAGTGAGTAAACTGTATCATTAAAGAATTAATCATTCATTTGTTTCGATGACGTTGCTTCTGGATAAGCATTTCACGTATTTTCCTGTAATAGGAAAATACCTCATTGCAATAATAGCGAGCCATGACGTATACTTTTCTATATTCCGAGCCTAATCATGTTAAGATAGCCATCTGGGGACAGATTTATTAAATAAGACCCCCCTCGAAGTAAGTGTACTTTCTAATTTCGACAGGTGCAGGCAGCACGGTCGCGATAAGCTAGTTACCAACTGTTTACATATCCATTCAAGTTTTTTTATTTCAAAGTTGCCGTAATGTTTCAAACCTAACGGTCGTCGCGAGTGATCGGAAGAAGAGATGTACGATCTCCGCGGTTCGCGTAATTTTATCCGTCCGAAATACGCATTGCAGGTGCAAATCGGGTCCGGGAGTGCCGTAAAAAGTAACGGGCGAGTGTCGAGTCGCGTTTATTAATCCGTACGGCCGACAAAATAGTCGCGTCTTTCCGATGGACGCGGACGAATGAACATTCGAAACAATGGATGATTTATACAACAGCGGAGCAACGGACATCAGCATATCGAAAAGACAGAGACATATAATATCAATCGCAGCATATCAAGAAAAGATGATGACGTCGATGATGATCGAGCGGTGAGTGAACTTCATCATTGAAAGACTAATTATGTGTTTATTTCGCGGCGATCCGACATCATATTTTGTTACGTATTTCATGCCGCTCTCGACGCGTCACACAATAATGAAATTGCAAATGCCGAACCGAGTTTCAATAGAATGTTGAAATAGCCATCTACGGACAGATACATTAAGGGGGTATTCTAATGTGGTAGATAAAAAAAAATTTTTTTTTTTCATATTATAGTTTGAGATCTTGAAAATGTGTCCATAAAATATTAAGATGAAATTCATAAAATTGACTGAGCTATAAAGGTTTAAATGGCGCAGTTAAAGAGAACACGGCTACAGTATTGTTAACTTCTTTTCAATTTTTTCTGCCATCAGTTATTTGCTTGTTATTTGTGAAAAGTGTACAAAAAACACAACATTTAGTGAAGCAAGTTCCCGTGGATTGGGATTCACCTGGTATAGCAGATTAAAAGTAAATTACTGAAATTATTCATTATCCACATCGTAACTGCATGAAAAACTTTGAACGCGTTTTTCTCGAAACGACACGTCCACCTGTATCTTATAAAATTTATAATAAAAAGCTTTGTAAAAATTTGAGGTGTTACTTGAAATATGAATAAATGTGAATACAAAACTTGAACTCTGTAGGTTTAACCATTTTTATAAATTTAATTTCCAAAAATCACCTTGAAAACGTGTGTTCACACTAGAATACCCCCTTAAGTAGAGAATTTTCTCTGAAAATTAGCCATGATTTCTAAATTTCAAGATGTGAACAGTGCGTCGCTACAAAGAGAGTATCAACCGTGAAGAAACCCGCGAAAGTTTTTCGTCGTGAAGTTGCCGTCATAGATTCGAGATTTTTCGTGATTCGCAGTACATCTAACGGACGTCGCGAGAGACCGTGCGAAGCGATGTACGATTTCCGTGTTTCGCGTTATTTTATACTGTTCTGGGAGTATCATAAGTGCAATAAGTGTCCGGGAGTGCCGCATAAAGTAACGGGCGAGTGTCGGTTCGCGGTAATAAGTCCATATGATCGTAAATGGCCGCATAATTTGATGCGAGTATAGTGAGTGTGGTGTGAGTGAGTGTGATGTGAGTGTTTTGTGCATGGAAATACCGACAGCGATGTAATGGATACCGGCGTACCGAAAAAGGATTAGCAGCTAAATGGCAGCACATTGGAAAGCAGTAAATTGAGGAGGAACGACAACATCGGTGAGAGCAATGATGAGTGAACTGAATCATTAAATGAGTAGTTATTTGTTTGTTTCATTACGCTGTTGCGTCAGTAAATAGGAATTGCGATGCGATACGCGTATCACGCTGCCCCCGATGCTTTGGAGCAGTGATGAAGCGTAAAACATTTTCCGTATTCCGAGCCGATCGCAATAAAACATAGATAGCGCAGTCTATGTATAGATTCATTCCGCCCGTTTTATCACGAATCGAAAAGTTTCCAGTTATTTCCGCATATGTCGATAGATAAATTCATTAGAGTCGCGCTAGAAATAGACTTAAATTTCCAGAGAGTGCGGGCATCAAAGTTGTCCTGCGCCCAACGCATTAAAATCGCATAATCGAACGAAATGATTGTCTCGGACCGATTCTCGCACAGATTAGAGACGGTGGAAAGTCGAGGTCGCCCTTGACGTAAGCGCCTACCACGTGTAGATACACAAATACACTGACGTCTTTTCACATATCACATTCTAAGAAATACGAAACGTCGTCGAATATCACAAGAGACAAACTGCGGATTAGTATGAATTATTACTCATAACCTATAATTAATGGTATCATCTATCTTGCACCCCAACTTCTCTATAAAGTTTACTGAACGTACTAGTCACGTCAATCATGAGGCGATCGCGATCTTTGATGCAAATGCTTGACGCCGCATGCAAAGCTGGCTCGCGATAAACAAGCAGTAACAAGTGGGTGTTATGGCTCGAGATATTTTTACTTTTTAAAAGTTAGTCGATGCAGTTGCTAGAATTATTCATTTAATATTCATGACATTTGCGAAACTAAATATATTTCATATCGCATATATAAATCGCTTTTTTATCAGTGATTCTATGCAATCTGACGCGTGTTTGCATTGAAAATATCATTTCCAAGCGTACTAGGAAATGAAATAAAAAAAGCAAAACATTTGCGCGTGTGGTACAGCGGCGTTATTTGTTCCTTTTTTTTTAAACATAGCAAAAACGTAGCGATGCGTCAATTTGGTTGCAATAAGCCGTCTTTACATCTGCCGGCCTTGACACCGACCGTCGCAGCTACGCAGTTGCAACCGAGTGTATCAGCGATATCTATCACTTATTGAAATAACACATTGCCATAAATTTAACAGCATAAATGTTTACATTTTAATACGATGTTTGTAAGAGTACTTCAAATTTATTGGAATGCGTTATTAACATTTCAGGCGCATTAAATCAGGAGGTATAAATTCTATTGCATAGTATTGTGTGGTAAAGGAATGCCGTGTAATCTATATTTTACACAAATGTGGTCGATGACGAATCTTGGCGCCCGCATACTCACGGAAATCGGCTCGATGCTACTTTCGCGAATGACGGTGCACCGGCGAACGCCGACGCGAGGCGATCTTTATAGATGCCACCGGCCTTGTCCTTGACATCGACCGCAGCGTCCCGACGCTACGCAGGCGGCCCGCAGTTACATCGAGATATCCGATACGCGGAACAGTCGAAGCACAAACTTGGGGAGGGGTTTACATCAGGAATTTAAAGAGGGTATAGGGGATGCGAATCATACCGTTGGGTAAATAGATGGTAAATGGATAGCAAATTTAAACATCGCCCGTAGAATATTTCGTAAGATTACGTAAAATCTTAAAAGGTTATTTTCCGATAAATATAAAGAAAAAAAGTGAACGATCTTTACTTGCGATGAAAATTTGAACTCTGTTCTGATTTCTTTACGTGCTACGCAGTAGCGGATTTTGCATTTGCTCTGCCATTTTTATTATGGGTCGAAGTCTCAAGTTATTTTCGTATATCGATGTTATGGACAACAGATTGTTTGTAATAAGGCAAGGACAAGCTCTTGAATTAATCTCAACAACGTGAATAAGATCGTACTTTGATTATTTATTAACACAACACATTCTGCGTCTGTAGATTGACACAACAAAATTGGATATTTATGTATAAACGATATTTAAGTACAAATTTTGTAACTTATCTCCTTCTTTCTCTCTAGTCTACGTGTTTTCTTAATACGTATTTATATTTACATATTAATTCCTCAGCATCTTTAAGAAAAAGATTTAAATTTGAAGAGATAGCGAGACGATTTAAAACAGGAAAAAAATGTAGAACTTTAATACCTTGTAATGGAAAATTATTATTTATTTACATACAACATGAACATCTGAGTTAAAAATTATTTGTCACAAAAATAATTTACTTTTTCCTTTTCGTAGTTTTCATATTTTTAGGCTTCGCCCTCGATTTGTTACCGCTTCGATTTTTCTTTCCACGTCCTTTAGTTTTTTCCTTCGCTTTCGCCGCGCGTAAATCCTTCTTCATTCTCGGATCGACTATCTTATATCGACCTTTCACACCAGGAGGCCGGACGGCCCGCTTCTGCGCGCTGTGTTTCTTCGCTACAATATACTTAACTTCCTTTCTTGGTTCTTGATGAGCTTTCTTGTACAATCTAAATCAAATCAAAGATTGAATTAAGAAAATGCATTTATCGAGTCGAACAATTCAAAAGAAAAATCAAACTTACGCTTTAACTTGCTTGGCCTTTTCTCTGTCGCTGATATCCGCGTTATCCATCAATGCTTCCACCTTCTTCTTGGCCTTTTCAAGCTTACGCAGTGAGCGTCGTTTTTTCCTTGCCTTAGCTTCCATTACTTTCTTAATCGGTCTAACATTCAAGTCTTCGACTCTCTTTTGATATTCCTCCACAAGTTCTTTGGGTACAGGTGCCTCTTTTTTCATATGTTTCTCCTCGTCTTTTACAAACCAATCGGGTAATTTGTCATCATTAAACGCATATCTATTCCAAGCCGAGTCGATTAAATCTCTTCGAGATTTCTGGCTTTGAATCAACAGCGATCCAAGTGCTAAATCTTCGGAAGTCAATTTCTTTTTCTTTGATTTTTTATCTAATCAATCATAAATGAATATTTAATTTGACACGATTAATCAAGCTAATTATTAGTTATAATCAATAAAATTTCTCGCTTAATGTAAACTTTCTTACCTTTTTTTTGTGATACTACTTCAAAGCCATCTTTTCCGCCAATTTTTTTAACTTTTTTAGGCGCCATCATTTCTTCCATATCATAGTTTGAATTTGTATCATCACTTTCACTGATCTTACGTTTCTGTTTTGGTTTCTCATCTACTTTCTCTTCTACTTTTTTCTCTTCTCCCAGAACACGTCCACCTTTCTTTTTATATTGCTCGATCATGTTATCCAATTCATAATCTGCATCATCTTCATTCTCCAAATTTTTAAATACATCTTTTTCAAACCAAAGTTTTGCGTTCTGAATTTTTTTCGTTTTTTTATCCCGGAAGTCTAAGTCAGTTAATAATGGGTTGCTATTAAAATCATTAGATTGTTGTTCTTTCTTTTGCACAGCTTTCTTCCGCGGTTTGTTTGTCTCTTCATCCTCTGAATCCTCTAGACCTATTTTGCAATAATAATTTTATAATTTTTGTTAAAAATTTAAAGAATGAAAAATAAAATGTGAAAAATAAATCTTCTATGATAAAGCAGAAAATTATTTGAATAAATCTATTGAAATCAATATTAATTTTTAAAATATAATATACCTAGTCCAGATTTTTCGCTATCAGTGTCATCATCCGATGCAACATCAGAATCACTTTCCTCGCTGTCTTCCGCTTTGTAGTACAAGCCTTTGCTGTCCAAGTGTCCTGTATCTTTCTCATAAACAATCTTATTCGGTTGAACCTCTTCATCCGAATCCACATCGCTCTCTGCTACAACATCAGGTGTTTGATCTGTAACTTGTTCCAATTGCTGGTGGGTTTGAATCTGGTTTAATTTAAACATATCATCTGCTTCTAATCTAGGTCCCTCATCATTCTTATGAATCATTTTCAAATTGAGACGTTCGTTCAATTTTTTTCTCTCTTTGTTAGCTTTTTTCTGCTTGCGTTTCAACTCTTTAGCTTCCGTCTCTCGGAGTTCAGCGATCTGTTTTTCGATTGCTGCATCTTCCAAATCCTCCTGTTCTTCGAGATTAATGGCCACAGTTCCATCTTCTTCCGCATGCTCTTCCTCTTTCGAATTATCTTCTTTTGAATCATCTTCTTTTGAATCATCAGTTTTTGTCTCTTTTAATGCCTTCCACCAACTAAGTAGCAGTTTCAAATCCTTTCTACCAAGTACTTTAATATCCTTGCAACATTCTCTAACTTCTTTAGTCGTCTTCTTGTGCTTGTCAATAGTTTCATCATCTATTACAATTTCAGAGGCATTCTGCAGAGCCTCAATTGCATCTTCACAGTTAATAAACTCTTTTGCAGACAATTTGTGATACAATGTGTAATCGTTCTCTGGATATCCTTCAGCTTTCGCTTTTTTCTGTTTTTCGGGATGAAGAACACTGAATTGGTTGGTAGTTTCTATTTCTAATTCAGAAAATACATGCTTTGGATCAAAGAACTTGGGATCTAATTTATCTGGAGCAATATAATATTGACAAACTACAAAAATTTCTGCAGATTCACTGCGCGAAGCTTGAGGTTTAGTCGCATGTACCTATAAATAAAATTGTGAAAATCAAATCATATACAAAAATTAATCATTTTTTAAACAATATTAATTTAAATAATTTTACCTTTTTAAATAATTGTTTTAGCACCCACATCAATGGGTTGTAATCTTTAGATCTGAATACTTTTGTTACAAACCAACCACCAGCTTTTAAGAATTGAGTAGCTAGTTTAACAGCTGATAATGTTAAAACAGCTTGCTGATACGCATCATGAAGCCAATTTTTTCCAACATTAGGAGCACCATCGTTTAAAACAATATCAGCTTTCCATGTTTTTATCTCACGTGAGATAGCCACTCTGCACTTATCCGTTGTAATGTCTTCTACAAGACTAATACACCCTGGAATAGGCTTTATCGGAAACAAATCCACACCTATAACTATAGATGACACTGGCATATTTTTTCTGGCAACTTGCATCCAGCCACCAGGTGCTGCACATAAATCGATGCATACTCTAGACTTTTGCAAAAATTCAAACTTGCGATTGAGTTGAATTAATTTGAAAGCAGCACGTGATCTATAACCTAAAAAATGCAAAGTTTTAGTAATTATAGTCGTGACATGATGAAATATTTTTTAAATTTAAATGCACGTAAAACTAATATAATTTTAATCTAGCAATTCAATCTATGTGTTAATAAAATAATAATAGGTATTAATAATTAATACTAACCTGTTTCTTTGGCTAACTGATAGTATTTATCTTTCCTTTGCTTTCCAATTTTCGTCTTCTTCCCCATTGTAATTAAAAAAAAAAATTAGCTATTCAGATAAATAAACACGCATTAACTGCGTGCAGTTATTATAAAAACCTCTGCAGCGTGGTTTTCAACGTTTATGAAAAAGGTTAGAAATGCACTTATCCTGACTGAACATAACATGGAGTGTAGCTGAGTGTAGCTAAGTGTAGCTAAGTGTAGCTGAGTGTAGCTGAGTGCAGCTGAGTGCAGCTGAGTGTAGCAGTCAGTCAGTGTTATTAACTTAGCCGTAAAAAGTATTACTAGATTTACTTTCTTGGATTATAGAAGCAATAATTCTGAAAACGTTTTCAAGTTTTTTATTGAACATTTTTAGGCTTCTCTTTACTTTGTTCTTGCCATTTATGGGCAAATATAAGGAAATCGAATAGGGAATTTATCAAGTATATTCTAACACTGTTGCGTGTAGGGTCATTTCGTAGCAAAATGACGTACAAAAATTTTAGCGCATGTGCTTTTGCCTGTATATATATTATGGCATAAATGCCATTCCGCGGTGCAAGTTAGTGCAGGTGTTGCTTTATATTAATTTAGTAGTAGCTTTTCGTTTCTCAATCAAAATACGTTTTCTTCCTTGATAAAAAGTAGAAAGGGAAGAAAATGTGGAAATTTATAGTTCGTGGAATTCAATCGACAATAGAGCGACGTATTTGTCGCACCAATATTTACTCACAATCGTCACAAGATAACCCAACAAATGATGTCAAAACAAATTTGACAAGCCAACAAAATTTGCTTTCTTCAACTTTTACCTTTTGCGACAAGAATTTTTGTGAATGGGCTAAACGCGCTGGTGCTAAAGATAAGAAATACAATTCGGAATGGAATGCCAGGCATAGCTGGCCAGAGGCTGTTAGCTGGGTAAATATTTTTTAGCGTGTTCTGTATAATTATGCAGCTCAGTAATACTAAAGAAAGTTCGCTAAATCGCTAATGTAATTTATATTTTATCAGTCTAGTATATTGGCAGCTGGATGGATTGTATGTCAAACACTTGGTTTGCGTAAAAGAATCGATGAGAAAGACAGACGTCAAAACTTCAAAAGCAAATTATATAATTGTGCTAAGGTTCCATTTATATTTTCACAAATAGCAAATTTAGAACCAAGGAATATCTTTCCAGTCACTGTGTTGGCAATAACAAATGTCAACAGTGTTGGCAATAACAATTCTAACTTGCAAGATTCAGATTTACAATGGACATCAGAAAAAGCATTCGGTCCTGTCACCATTGAAGAGGTGAGGATGTTGCTTTGTAGACATTATGCTCTGTAATTTTATATATCTGAAATTCAAAGAAAGAATCAAATTAAATAAAAACTTGCAATTGTGAGAGCATGCTGTGAGAACTAATTGCACAATAAATGAAAAGTACATTTATTATTTTTTATTTATATTTATTTTCTAGAAATTTCTTCCTAAGTTAATGAACTTATTCCTTGTAAGTATAGGGCCACCTATGAAATTGTACGTTCCTATAGATTGTCTATCTCTTTAGGCATTCGAAGAGGCTGCTGATGAATTTTCCAAGACCCACAAAGTAGTTGTAGGGCAATACGAACTCTGTTACGGTATAAAAGCTTTGAAAGAAAAGCGTCATGAAGATGCTTTGATGCATTTTTCAATGGGTGCCAAACAATCTTCCCCCGGAAGTATGTTCAACTTAGGTCTTTGTCATGAATTAGGCATTGGAACTGTAGTGGATCAAAAGAAGGTATCATCCTATCATTTAGAGCTGCATAAAATCAGCTGATTACTTACCTGATTAATTATGAAAATTTTTTAAAATTTGTATACAAAGATAGAAAAAGGAATTCGATATTATATTAAAACTCTCAATTGTTCACTGCAGTAATATTGAAACAGAGTTGCAGTGAGTAAACGAGAGTTCTAAATTACGAAAAATGAGAGATTTTAAATTGTGAATTTTTTTATTTTTTGATGAAAATACATACAAAATTTTTCTCCAGGCTGCAGAATGTTACAATGACGCCGCAGCACACGATCATGCCGATGCATTATATAATTTGGGAGTTTTCCATGCTCAAGGGAAAGGTGGCTTACCAGTTAGCATTGATCTTGCGCGTATTTGTTTTATTAAAGCAGCAAAATTAGGTCAGACACAAGCGCAACAAGCGCTTGATTTAGAAAAAGCTAAGACTCAATCAAAGAAAAGCAATACCTCTACTGTACAGAATATCAAATTTACCCATACAAACTTGCAGAAAAATAAAATAGATGATGCATGCGTTAAATTAAGTAATTACATGTTAAGAGAAAACATTGCTGACATATTAAATGCAAATTTGGTTGAAAAATCCACGCGCGATACGCCAGAATATAACGAACAACCAATCAAAGATTCTACCCAGAAAATTTTAAACTTTCTCAGCTTAAAAGAAGCTAGTCAAGGGATCCTTATGCTTAACGATTATAGTGTGCCATGTTAAGAAATACCAAAATACTTTTATTATGCCAGAGTAAGATTCACCAAAGTTGAGTCATCTTAAATAGTTGTTATATAAAAGTATTTTCCGTGTACGTGTGTGTAGTATATTTACGAAATTACGTATTATATTCCTAAGAGAAAGTGCAAGTGCTTGCTCAATTTGTAAAATGTTATATATATATGTTCGCAAACATTATTTTTATCTTCATATTTTTCATTTCTGTTGAAGAGCAAACATGTGTATATTATTTAACATACTCATTATCTTGAAGTTATAAGCATGGGCAAAATTATTATGACACACTACAAGTGTATCAATAATTGATTTAAGGATTTTACGCAACTGCTTAGTATTAATGTAACAATATTACTTAACTCATAATTGAGTTGGAACGTGATTGTGATGCATAAACATGTAAAAGCAGACGTGATACGACATTGAGAAGTTTTAGCGTTGTACACAAACTTCCAAGTTCTATTAATATCTAATAGATCGCAATCGATATTTTTATTACAAATATATTTTATTGACTCTTACATAACAATCTCATTTTATCGATTAAGATGTTTTAGATTTAAGATTCTGACACAAACGACAGTAACGATTAGCCATTTGTTTGTATACTGCGCAGTGTACAAAATGCGTGTGTGCGAATAGTCTACATGGTACATTAGTACAAAAATAAAATCTTTTTATAATTTCATAAATTCTTTAACAACGATATCCTTCTCTCATTCCAATTCCAATTGCACTTCACCAGTGTGCATTACGTTGCGATACAGTTTTCTTTACAAACTCACTATGATTAGCGTATAAATTTATTTCATGATTCACGTCCATCCACCTTACATTACACGCATCGTCGCCGGCTTGCAATGCAAGTTTCCCGACGACGCTGCTGTCCTCGTCGTGAAAATTTATAGCCACCGTCTCCATCCAAGCGTTGTCCGTATTTCGCGGATCATCCACATACCCTTTGTAAATCTCATCGCCTTTCGTGAAAAATTCCGTGATGGAATTTTCAAGGCCCTCTCTCTCGGTGTCATTTTTTTCCAAGAAGTTGAGCGCTTCTTCCATGAACTCCCTCATTAAAGTAGTAGAGACCGTCTCGCCCGGGTCAATCATACCTCCCGGTATAGCCCATTCTCCGGAATCTCGCCTCTGTATCGCGACGAATTGTAATACACGTTTACCCGTGTGCCTGTCCACCTCCACAGCTCCCGTATTATCGCGTTTCCATCGTGTAACGATCGGATCGGCGGCGTGATTCGGTCCCCATCGGCCCAGAAGTCCTCGTCCGACGATACCGGTTCGTCCTACTGGATTTAAAGGGTAACCACCCGCTCTCACAACGTAGTCGCCCGTAAAACTCCTTCGATTCACCTTGCCTGTTACGATTTTTATACTTTGAATATATAACACGACAGTATTTTGTCTCGCGTACGAACTATAGTCTTGGTTTACATCGCGATGAATTTATTAACCTCATAAACATCACATTTTCTCTGTTCCATTAATTTTTTAACTTTTGAGTTGTTTTAAATTTGACTGAACAAAAGAAAAAGATAGTTACCATCCACCGCATTCCACTTTGGTTTGAAGGTGGGTTCGTTGATCTCCGGATCGGCCCAAGGTTTACCCTGAAGAGCGGCAGCGGTGTACGCGACCGGTTTATACTCGGGATATTCGACCGTCCACGGAACTTTTTCGTCCGGTACCGCAAATCTATTTATATTACTGAACGGATATAAACCCTGCCTACACTTCTGGTGAAGCATTCTCATGCATCTAGTATTCATTTAATAACTTCTTCCACGAAAATCAATGCGATGAACACATGGTAACCTCTCTGATATGTTTGAGTCCAGTGACGTAATTCACAGGCTCTCTGTCGCACACTTAATTCAGTTGAAATAGAAATTCGCAAACAAAAGGAGAATTTTATTGCAGTAAATTATATATCTTTGAATTATCAATAGAGTGAACAGGATAAAAAAAAAGATTAAAATGTTTTTATATCAGTTTAAATATATATATTTCATATAATTTTTCACTTAAAAAGTGTAACAGGCTTTATTAAAATTCTTGAACTGTTACTATCTAATTATTGATTGTTTATTTTTTTACATAATTTTTTAAACAAAAATTTTACGTGATATATAGACGAAGTAATGTTCTAGCGATATACATATTTGTAAATCCATGCCAGATCAGGTGCGCATTTATTTCAATATGTGCATTGCATAAATGTAATAAGAATATCTATGTTTTTAATACTTACGTAAAATAAGATTATCAGTATAAGACAGATATCGACTTTATAAAATTGTAAAAAGTCTTATTTCATTTAAAATCCTTGGTATATTTATGGCATGATATCAAAATATGAATTTCACACATCATAATATACTGACATAATTACTTGTTATATTTACAAGCATTGGCATTTTTCCTGCATTCTTGAAACGCATACAGATTTTTAAAAGTAAAAGTTCCTTATAATTCGGTTACTATTCTGTAACTTTCCACAAATCTTGTATATTTATAGGCTGGAAGACTAGATTAGAAGTATTTATAAAATTTAACAAACCCTAATAACACTTATCTACTTAGACTGATAAAAATCCGTCTATAATTAATCTAGATGTTAATGAATAATACTTGCGTATGACATACTATTAATGCCCACTCCTTTAAATAGCTTAAAGAGTTCAGTGTTTGAAGTGACATTAAAAGATTAAGATTTATGTCTTGAACACTCCAAAAATACAACGTTTTCTTTCAACAAGATTAAAATTCCCAAGCCTTCCCGTTCGTATTTCTTTTATAAATTATCTTTCTCATCTATTTATTTTATCAAAAATATACATTCTATATTATATATATTTTTACAATTCAGAAAATTTGTATATTTTTCAAGATGTAAAACAAAGATGATTGCAATAGTTTAATAATTTTGAAAAATATCTGCTAAATACTACAAGTTATTTTAACTTATACACACTTCAAATACTGAAAATTGAAATAATTTTTCAAATATCTTGTGTCGAGATCCGCCGCTTTTCTGCAAAGTATTGACGAATTAAAACACTTCATCCTGCAAAATTAATCTTGAGAATTTTGATCTCTATGATTATTAAGATAAGATAATTAACAGAATGAATAACTACCAGTATCTTTTCATTCAATTCTTTCTTGCAGAGTTCTTTCGCTATCGCGGATAAGCGTATGGCATTCTCGCAAAAGTGATCCCGGATTAAAATATCGGCCGAAAATACAAAATAGGCCAGAAATAAAAAATAATTTTAATTCGTTATTGCATAAATTGTATAAAGTATTGATTAGTTTAAACTTTGAAATTTACAATATCCAATATTTACTAAAGTATTTCTTATTATATAAATAGCTTACGCATTTTTTCGAACTCAGCTGCTTTTCTTATTTCAAAAGCGGTTCAATCCTCAAATTTTCTTCTTCTTTCTTCTTCAAGTTAAAGTATGCATGTCCCTCACGAGATATCATACGTAAGATATCATACGTAAAAATGCTTTTTAATATAAAGACATGCCTAATACGGAGACAAGTTTCCTATATTACAGCAAAATTATTTAAACTTCTCCCCTTAAGATATATTAGAATCCAGAAAAATAATCTATTCTCGATTCCTATTTCGTTTTTAGTCGAAAAACTGTCCTTATTTTAGATGTACTTCTTCACATAAGAATCTCATTAAAATTGTCAAGGACCAGAAATCGCTATATCCTTGTTCATCGAATTCGAGAATTCGATTGTGGACAATAAATTCGGTTCGCTTCATAAATGATTTGTTATCAAACACCGTGGTCGAATTCGTGATATCCTTCTGCTCCTGTGAATACAACGTCGACCCAAACACGCATAGCTTCTGGGCTGGGTGCCATGAGATGGTAGAGTCTAGATGAAGTCTTGACGATGAAGGTGAGAGAAGGGTGCGGCGATCGGACGGTATTCATATGGTCCAAATAAACTTCTTCGATTGACTAGAATGCATTAATGACAATTAATTTAATACGACAGCGATCAAAAATTTAATTAAATTTGTAAAAATTTGTGAACAATAGTTACCTGGAAATAAATTACGCCGCGGGCCTTTCTGGACGTGTTGTCGCTGTAATAAGACAGCGTCTTCCGCTTGCGATCAAATACGAACCATCGCTTGTTCCAATGGTGGAATTTTTTGCTCATCTTCGATAAATAGCCACTGCAACTTGTCGTGTCGACCGTAACATCATAAATCAGAGGCAACTGATGCCCGGCAGTTTCTATGTGATGCCTTAGATCTAGAGATTCCGATTTGATGGGAAGATATCTCGTGAGTGGCCTCTGGAAAATTCGTTTTTTATTCGTTAATTTAATAAGTCGAGCAACTAAAGCTTTCTTCGGACAAAGCAAAATCGAAATATTAAGGAAATTATCAAAAAAGTTTCTTCGAGTAGAAGTCTTAAAGACTCGTCCTTTTTTTTTTTTTTAAATACTGACTGTCATTTACAGCCTTTTTTTTACGCGGGTAACTGATCGAAAGGTTTCGGGAAGTTACCTGGAGTTTTGCCTTTTCGCGATGTTTAACAGGTTGCAGTGGTCCAAGAGTGTCCATCTCGCTGGATGTCTGAGAAAGGGGGCGACTACTGTTTCCATCGATGATACCACCGCCTCCGCCCCCGCCGCTATTGTCGCTAAGTCTCTCACCTTCCATCGATGTTCTCCTGTCGTCTCTCATCTGGAAATAGTTCGTGAATTTTATTTTAACAACTTTTACCGGTGCCCCGAAAATAAATTTTGCTATGCGTCTAGTCTTTAATATTTTGCGGGGAAAAAAAATAAAAGGAATTCGATTCGTGAAAATCAATCACATTCTTGCACAAAAGATTTTTGCATACATGTCTGCAAACTTCGCGTCTTCGTCTGTTGCATCGTTTTTTCGTTCTGTTTTTCACGAGGTTCATCCACATAAGCGACATTGCAGTACAATCGGCGTGAATTAAAATAAATTTACGAAAAACTGCGACAACTATGTCGAGACGTCTGTCCTTTCGTTTACACGATCCGGACAGATGACGAAGAAAGACTGATGCTCGGTGGACCAACGGTGTGATTGCCGCCGTAAAATGTGACCACACTCCCACCCACTCACTCAGAGATGACGACGCGAGCTTTTCGCGCACCAAATTCGCTCGCACATTAACCTTCGATTATTCATTCATAAAACGTCATGGCATGTTATGCGTATCATGTGGATCGTTAAAATATACGATAACAAGCAACACACATATTGCTCTTTATAAAAAAAAAAACAAAATATAATATTATTTCGAATATAATTAGAACTGTCAAATATTAGTAATAATAATAAATCCAGATTTAACAAATAGCTTTGCTATCTGCAAGATTTTAACGAGTAACTGATTTATGAAAATCAATGAAAATTGATCGGATGACGTCATTATTATTGCAGTAATACTGTCATTATATTTTAAATGATTAATCAATAGATCAATATTATTATACAGCATTAACGTTCTAAAGCTCGTTCAAACAATTGCTGTTAGTACTTCTTGAGTGGTCCGAACGAGATGAGAAATTCCGTCAGCTCGACAAACGGTGTGACTCATCACAAACACTAATTTACCGTCGACATTTCATTTTAGTTTAACTGCATGTTAAGTGGCGAGAATGTAAGAAAATATACAGTACGGCAAAAATTTCTTCTGAAAAATTAAATCTGAAACGTAATTAAGAGTCGAAAAATTTGTTTCTATCGTTGTTTTCGAGAACGGTAAAAGTTTGAGTGACTGTTGATTTGGTCAAACGCCTAAAAAACGTCGCGAGAAGTTCAACTTGCGTCTATAAATATCTAACAAGAAAGGGGGTCAATTGCAAAAGAGACTCGCGAAACCCACCAATTCTGTCATTATAAATTATCGCTGTAAGCTTAATCAAGATTTTACAAACGCTCATTTATCGGGACATAGGCTACTCTGAATGCTGTCCAATGGTCGGCATACCGTGGAGGCCCAGATGCACGCTATGCGAAAACACGTGCGTAATGACGAAAACGTTTGCTCCAGAATGCAAATGGATATGCGTACTTGCGAAACGCCAATGTTGAAAAGCACGCGTTACCACGAATGGAACGACGGCGAGCCAAAACGACGCACGAACTTCCGGCGGCTACAAATGTGTTGTTTTCGGTGAACGCGTAAAGTATACTTTAAGATGATCTGTTTCAACTGCCAAAACACTTGTATAAAGAAAAAAAAAAAAAAAATAACACGCGCGGGACAAAAAGAAAGTACGTATCCCGTCGCGCGTATATCTCACATTTAGCGCAATTGAACGGATTTATTTTATATGAGAAAATTTGTTTCTTTGCGCTATTCTAGATAACTCGAGTTATTTTCCAACTATTTGACATAGCCGCATTCATTTCGAGTCTTTCGATTGATTCACATTTCTCGATTGATTCATACTTCATGAGCCGCCTTGTATAGTACTCGCTCACAGAATTGCCCGCAGACGTAACACGGCTATTCTTCACCTCTGATTCGCACGAGCGTGAAATTTTTTTGGAATTATGCCGGAATAAATAAGATAAAGTGAATGGATAATAATATGCTGAAGAAAAATATGATTTTACGTCGCCGATCGTCAAAGATTGTAAAATAGAAATCAAGAGCCAGAGAGAAAAGTATAACAAAAGGTTGCTATTTCTATAATTTTTATAGTATTCTCGTTCTACAGTTTGAAGAGAACATATAAATGTCACATTTCCAGAAAGTTATATTGAAATTTATTTTCTGCGATCAATAGCGCATAAATTCGCACAATGTATAAATCCGCGACACAAATGCGTTTCGAAGTAAGAGAAATCCCGCTTACGTGAACACTGAAAAATGTTAGGAGAGGAGAATCAGACGAGGGAGACGTTTCTTTGAACAGGTGCGCGATAAAATCCACACAGGCAGAAATAGACTGGAAGATAGATTCTCGCTTACTTGTCGTAACATCTTGCAGTATACACATGTGCATGTGACCATGTTTAGTAGTATTTGAACTCGACAATGAACACGTTTTTTTTTTTTCTTTTTTTTTTTAGTAGATTAAAGTTACACATGCAAAATGTGAGTTATTTTTTCGTAAATAAATTATGCATTTTTTGCATTTTATAAGAATTTGCATGGTTGTGCTTATTTGCACGGTATTAAAAAAAAATTGAAGCATCATTTTAAAAATATGTTAAATTTAATTTGACACAAATATCTCTGCTATACTTACGTTATCATTTTGAAGCAAACTATAAGAATGATTTGATGGTCCCGGGCTGGGTGAAGTAACTTCCGAAAACTTGCTGGGGGATAATTTTTCGCCGTTTCCGCCTTCCGCGCCGTCGCTGCTTCCGCTACCACTAGAAGTTGATTAATAATTGCAATCACACTTTCACATGATTTTTTGATCGCAGCAAAATTTTAATTAAATCTCTTGAAAGCAAACTTTATAAAATTTTATTTCACCATTGTCTTTTTCAGTGAAAAGTTATAACAACAATAAATTAATGTTGAAAGCGTACTCTAAAATAATTATGGATTTAAAAATATAGGAAATGAAAGAAGCAATCTGATATTCCTTGTCGCGTTATTTCGCGTAGCTTTTTCGGTATTGTCGAATATTGGTGTTTACACTTTATTTACGCTTCGGATGAAACTTCTCATGGACGCGTTTGGTGAGCGCTATTATTAACTGAAACGTGAACAGTGAATCTCGCGAATTTTATTAGACTTCTTCGACATCGTCGTAAAGGAAGCGCGGTGCACTTCGAAAAGCACGGTCCTAGCTTCGGACCATCGCGAGACTGAGGACGAGCCTTATAGCCGACTACAGCGAAAGGCAGGTATTATTAAAACCTAACAAGTACAAAGTGACTCGGTAGACCGGTTCGACGATACCACCGGCATAGCATTTAATTCTTCTACAATGTTAAATGCAGCGCGAACGATACCCGAACATTCCGATCTCGTTGCCATGCCAACCTCGGCCTTGGTCGGCTAGAAACATTCCCTTGTTCCCAATAAGTGACCTCCGATTTTAATAGCCTGTTCGCTGAATATTTATCTCTATCTCTTATTATTCAATAGGGGTTGCGGGCGGGGGGGGGGG